CGGGGGTGCCGGCCTGCCCTGACCTTGGGAAGCGGAGTTACGGCCTGTCTCTGCGGGAAATCGCAAGGAGCAGCGCTGCCTTTGGGGTTTCTCTGCTTCCTGCTTGGAGAATGCATCAGCCTCCGGCATCTGGGGCTGCGGGTGGAGGGCTCTGTGGGACCCCTCCACGCTAACGAGTGCTTGTGTGTTTCCAGGTCTGAGGCTCGGGTTTGTTTTGGAAGTAACAGAGCTGTTGTTGCCTTGCTGTATCTACAAGCAGTTTCTGATCTACTAGAATTGTTATTAACTGGAAAAAAATAATTAGGAGGGAAGGTATGTTCACGTGTAATACCGGTGTAGTTTTGACTAAGTCTTAAATCTTCTGAAAATGCTCTTCTGGATCAGGAAACTAAACTTCCTTGGCTCCTAACACTTTAATATATTTTATAGGCATCTCTGTCTTTCCTTCTGCTGCCAAGCTCTCAGTGGGTGATTTGGCGTGTGCTCCTTTTGGGGACTGGTACGAGTTGATAAGCACTCAGCATGATGCAAGCAGTATGCATTTTACTGAATGCGGGCAATTGTTGCTCTCTAGTAATTCCCTTCATTCAGAGGCCGCCTAGCTGATCTGGTCTTCTTCTCTCCCTTTAAATGGGAAGCAAAGCTGCAGAGTGCTGTGTGAACGCTAATGAGGTGTGTATATATATAGGATAATGAAGTGTGCCTCTGTTCTGAAACAACACCTAGCATACTATGCTGTCAGTAGTGAAACGGTTCAAATCTGTAACCACAATTTGGAAATGGCATGTGTTATTGCCACTTACTACAAGAATAGTGATTTTCATTTCTTTAAAAAACATTACATTCCAATTCATGCAATATCTCTTAAACACATTGGATATGTGAAGCGACTGAGTGACAGTACTTGGCCTACGACTGGTGTTTTTTAAGCTTTGGGAATAATAAACGTGTTTAGAGACAGGCTTTCTTAAAGCCTAGCTTGCATGCAAGTGTCTGCTTGTAATGCAGGAGCTGTAAAAATGATGTGGTTCATACAGTGTGGTTTTATAATTATTCTTTCAGTATAGCTTACTGGAAACTGTTTCCTGTTCATATGACTCCAAAATATATTTTGGAAGGTAACAGGCTTCAAAAGAAGCATTACAGTAGCTAGAAGAGCGAAAAGCATACTGTTTACTGATGTACTGTGCTTGAAGATGGGCTTAAAAGTCAGTGAGGGGCTGAATCACATGTGTATTCATGTGTTTTTTAAGACATACAACTTCTTTGACAGCACCGCTGGCCAGGTGTCAAGCTCAGCGACATGGTTCTGAAACGGTGGGAGCTTTTTGGCTCAGTGATTTTACTGCAAATAAGCTTGTTAAACTGCTCGCCCAGTGAAAGTGCCTTGCTGCAGACTTGAGAGCTGAATTCATCTGAATGTCTTATTTGAAAATGCCTTTGTATTTCTGCTTTCCAGCTACCTTTCTGAGCAATGATGTGTAATTCTTATTTATAATATGCTGAGGTATGTGGGGCTTGTACCGGGAACATGACAGCCAGACACAATTCTAGCTGTTCATATTCATTCCTTTTCTAATCATATCTTCTGAGATCTGCAAAGAAGTACCTAATGGGCCTGTATCACCACAAATAGGATTTTCTTAGGTACTGTTGACCATGAAGAAACCTGGTGTCCCTGCCCATGGCAGAGGAGTTGGAACTAGATGATCTTTAAGGTCCCTTCCAACCTAAACTGTTTTATGGTTCTATTCCCTCTTTTTCTTTATAGGTGGGGAGCTGAGATGGGTGGGAGGGAGTATTCCTGCCAATTAGCCTTGGATACCTGATGTAGACTATGCTTCTGTAATCAACAGGAAGGTAATGCTCAATGCTGTTCCCTGGAGGTACTCTTTGCTCTCATTTGGGAGATCGAGGGAGCCTAGAAGCTGGAAAGCCCAAGTAATCCAAAGCTTGGCTGTGATACTCCATAGGACTTGCCTAATGCAGCAAAACTAGTCAGTCAAAATTGAAATATGCTACATCTCAGTCCTGGGGACAAGCATTTTCTGTCTCTAAATGATCGAGAATAAACTAAATGGAAGAGTAGAAGTAAAAGCATTTGTGTGATGCTTTTGCCTCTTGGAGTTGTTGTAAATCACATATGTTTCACCTTTTTCTTTCCTCAGGAGGCAAATACCTCAACACCTGCCAGGAAACAGGAGGCTTCACTCTGAAGTAACTGATAAACAAGTGTGAAGCATGAGGATCAACCCTGCTATTCAGGCTGCTATTGACCTCACAGCAGGAGCTGCAGGTAATGCTGGAGAGAACTTAATTGCACAGAAGTTCTGAGCCTGTAATAACAAAGGTTTTAATACCTCTGACAAATGCAAAAGCAGTTTCTGGTTGCTATAAAAAGCCTTGCCTTCAGTATTTTAAGGACTGGAGATGAAGCAGCTGACCTCAGTCAGTGTTGTAACTGCATCACTATCTCCCCTCCTGGGTGAAAACCCTGCCAAACAGTGAAGGTGTAATCCTTATTTCGGACTAACAGTTTTCCAGGAGGAGATTGAAGTTTCAGTGTTAGTTCTCATGCTTACACGGGTTTGAGAATCAGTCACAAGTAGCATTTTGGAGTGTGAGTGACTGAGGTGCTGCTTTTGTCACAGGAACCCTTTATAATGGAAATGGGCAAGAGGCTGTCTGAAGGGTTATTGGCTCGGACAGCATCCCGGTGTGAATCCTTAAAAGCTGGGAAACTCAGTAGTAGGACCAGTGATCATGAATTCACTAACTTCCATGTCTGTCTAGTCTGTGCTATTTGTTGGATCAGTTGTGACAAGTCACAAGTGCAGAAACAGTTGCATTGGCTCACTGACATTGGCATGAATCAGTTGTTAATTCTACCAGGGAAAGGGTGTCGCTTTGACATTTTTAAGCCTCATCTGTGAGGGGAGGAAAAAAAGCTATTGTGGAAGTGCCTTTTGTCCTGAGCGAAGATTTAGGTGCAGAGGTACTAGTTTCCCTTGGAAGCTTACATGTTGTCCAGAACAGATGACAAACATAGGGGTAGAATAGTTCATTTGGCAATCTTTGTACAGGAAAGGTGGAAGGAAAGATTGATTTATTGTTCAGTTTAAACCTTTTAATGTTTTTCTTGCCCATGTAACAGCTATTGCAGTCAGTCCTTTTACGACTCTCAGTGCTGTGGCTGTGGCAGTATTAACGGTGTTAAGTGCATTCAGGATGGTGGTTGGAGGTCGTTTGTCAGAGTGGAGGTAACCTTAGTGCAGTGAGAAAGAGAGAACATGGGTCCCACGTGGCATCTTCAGAAAGCATTAGATTTGCCACCACGTTTTGCCCTGTGAATACCTGCTTCCTCAGCCCTTGCAGACTAAGTCGTTGACCAGGTAACACCCTGTTTCCCTGCAAGGGAAAAGAAGTGTTTCTGCTCTTAATCCTTCGTTCTCTTAGAAAAATCTGTTCATTCTCCTTGGGTTTTGTCCTCTGTAAAGACAGGGCAAATGTCTGCTCTATTGCGCAACGTGTCAACTTAATGCCTGTGCAGTTCTGTACAGTTTTGCAGTGTTCCCAGGTACTTAACTGGAAGGTGCGGTTGCTTTCCTTCCCGTACTTCAGTTTATGACTGCTGCTGTTAACCGCTCCAGGGCAGTGGAGCACTCTGGTTTAGGGAGCTGTCTCTCTGTGTTGAAGCCTGGCATGTCTCATGTTGGCTACTACAAGAGCTGGAAAGTAGCATGGGGATTCCATGCCCACATTCAGGCTAACGGGGCATGCTCTTGAGGCTTGCCTGTTGTTTGTGGTTTTTTTTTTGGCAGTGGAGCTTAGACAATCTTAGAACCAATTATGCTGTTTTCTTCTCCGATCTAGTTCTTCCTTCGGGTAAGATGAAGGAATTCAGACATTCATTTCAGCATGACTTCAGTAATTCTAAATCATTGTTCTTTTTCTCTGCTACTTCTGTTGTAACAGATAGTATTAATGTTCCTCTAGATTTATTTTCCATATTCTTTCCACATACTTGCTTTGTACTGCCTGTGTTCATTGGTAGAGGCCCTCTTTGTTAGGTATGCCTCCACACCCTTTAGGGAGAGTATTTAACCTGACAAACAGCTGGCTCCTCTGTCGAACGCATAACCTGGTTTTACCTTCCTCTCCAGATCCACACTTGTCTAGCTGATAAGGAATAGCATATTTGGGCAAGTAAATTCTGAAGAATAAATAAGTCATTTAGCTGCCTGTGGGGTCAGAGTCCTTTGCCTGGGATCTGAGCAACCTCTGATCACTTCTTTGATTAAGTAGGATGCTTGTCCCCACCACTGCCATGTTACTGTTGGGACCACGTTTGTCTAAACATTCAAGCAGGGTTGACTCCTGTGTTTCTGGTTTTGTTCTTGTTTTGTTGGGGTTTTTAGGTTCTACTGCTGTGTGGAAGAATTTTTTTTCATCTAATATTTTAGATATTAACTTGGGACTCTTGGGTTTTACCTTGAGGCTTCCAGAGTTTGTTGCTGTAGTTTACTGATGGTCTTGTGCCACTGCCAGTGAAAGCGTAAGGAGAGCCCTTTCTCTTTTTCTGGAACAGCTGTTCACAGTCAACTCCCAGTTTTCCAGCTGACCATTCATGGGTTTGTTTGGCTTCTTCCAACATCCATTATTTTACTACAGGCAGATGGTTTAGGTCTGCCTTTACACAGGCACGCACTTGTCCTGTAATCACTATCTGACTTGCTCGCAGGTAGCATTGGCTGAGCCTTTCCAGTGCTGCTTTTCATCGGAAGCTTGCATGGATGTTACTGGTCTGAGCCAGCTACTTCTTTCCTTGGTTATCCCTCCAGGAGCAAGACTCTCTTCGTGCTTCATTGCATGATTTGCTCTGAAGCTTTCAATGATCCATCTGGTTGAGAATGAGGCTTTGTGGGAGCTGGGATGTTGACTTCCTCTTGGAGGCCCTAAAGTAGCTCTTTGCAGAGGAGCAATAGCAGTGTAACACAAATGTGTTTGCAGAGAGTAAAATCGATTGAAAATAACCCTGGTTAAGCAAACACTTGCTTAACTCTTCTCCCCACTTAGAAGAGAAAAATAACTAATTGGATTCACAGATTTGTTTTCATTTTGGTTTCATTACATTATCTTCATTTACAGATTATTTCTGTTTTGTAGCTGAAAAAGCATCTTGTTAACTTGCCCCCTTTAAGGTACACGTGAGTCAACTGCACTTTGGTTAAAGCTCAGCCTCTTTTAGGGCAGTTCAAGCAAAACCATACAGTACACCTATGGTATGCTTCTGTTAGGTGTTGACTCCTAACAGATTGCTGTCAGTGTACACTGGTATTTCGTGTGGAAAAAGTGTAATGTTGGCACTCTCCTCAGGCTACTGACTTGAGTTGGATCCTGGAGAGGATCACAGCGCTGTAGGCCAAGTGGTTATTGATGACATTAATGGAAATCTCTCACAGGTTTTCCGGGTATTGACCTTGCAATTCAGTTTGGAAAAGATAACAGACTGACAAATTTTGCCCTTTTGCCCTTTCCCAGCGTATCCTGGACACTTTCTTCCAGTATGTGGGAATAAATGTAAATAGAAGTCATCTGGAGTTTTGAAGTGAAGGGCTGGAGTCTTTGGTTATCAATTTATGATGCATCGTGGCTTTTAGCACTCTCAGCAGTGTTGTTCTTGTCCTGGGGGAACCTTTGTCTCACTTGATTACCAATCTTTCAGGTTTTTGTTATTGTTGAAACCTAAAATCAGATGGCTCTCAAACACTGCATTAATGAGCAGGGGAACATGTTGTGTAACTCGTTAATACAAGTGACTTGATAGCAGAACAATAGTTCTAATTCAGTACCCGTTGGTTAGTGAACAGAGTCATTTAGATGCTTGCTTTTAGCAAGGTAAAGAAATGTTTAATGAAAATCAGGCTGCTACTGCTCTTATGCCTGATATGTGTGTCGGGTTTTGGTTTTTTTTGGGTGTTTTTTTTTTCCCTTCAGGTAATTAACTTCACCACTGACAATTGATGCCATTGTGTTAAAATCAGTGCACTTGTCTTTTCCTGCAGAGAATTCCTTCGTCTCTGCTTTCTGCATGATTTTCCTAATAGAGCAGTTTGTAGCTAGGTGTTTGAGCTGTGATAACCTTCAGTTGCCTTCCACTTGCTTAGGTGGGACAGCATGCGTGGTGACCGGCCAGCCCTTTGACACCGCAAAGGTGAAGATGCAGACGTTCCCTGACATGTACAAAGGCATTGTTGACTGTTTTGTGAAAACCTACAAGCAAGTGGGGTTTCGAGGCTTCTACAAGGGAACCACACCAGCGCTCGTAGCCAACATCGCAGAGAACTCCGTTCTGTTTATGTGCTATGGATTTTGCCAACAAATTGTGAGAAGAATTGTTGGCGTAGACAGGAAAACAAAGCTCAGGTTAGTAATAGAAATCTGGTTTATACTTCAAAATAAGTAATCGTGCCACTGCTACTTGCAGGTGCTGTCTTGTCAGGGTACAGCTGATGTTCCAGGCACCCCCTCTGCCTGTAGGCAGAGTAGTAAGCTTGGGAATGCAGACCTTTGTGCTAGGATATGGTGTCTGACTACAGCAGAGCCATCTACTTGTCACTGCAGCTGGCTGGTTGAGATAATCACAACTAAACTGGAATGTTCACGACCTGAAACGATGTTACCAGAGGGACTGAGCATTGCAACAGCTGGAAGTTTGTATTGCCTTGATCTCTAGGTTTATCTGGTTTTTGCAGGGGAGGTAATGCCTCTTCTTACAGACTAAGGGGAAAAAGCACTTTTCTAATACTGCCTTGCCTTTAATTATTCATGTTTCAAAATCTTGAATGTAATGGTCATTAGACCAAAGGTCTGATTGTGCACAGTGTCTATAGCATTGGCAGTAAGTGGTTGCCTAAAAGAATGAGAAAGAGGAGAAGGAAGTGTTTAATACTTGCTGTGAGTCCTCTGCCAGGCTGTGCTTTTAGTTAAGGGGATTTCTTGATCCTGGTGCGATCCAGTCAGTGACTTTGGATCTCTTTTGAAGCATTTGTCCAGTCTCCTCTAAAATTAAGTTCCTTGCATCTGCAGTACACTTGAGCAGGGAGTTCTGGAGGCGATAGTCGTTAATTCTGTAACTGGAAGAGGCAGTTGATCCTTAGCCACTGTCACCATGTTACGTCTGTCCATTGCTCCATGCCCTCTTTCCCACCTGAGCCTTTCCCTGGATTGAACGATCCCAGCCCTCCTAGTCAGTGAGCGCTGTGAAACTGTTCCTTTAGCTGTTTGCTTTCTCTGAAACTCTTGTAGTGCTAATGTGTGTTAGCTTGAGAGCAGAGCTGTGCCGAGTATTTGGTGTGTCAGCAAGTCATGGATTTATGCACTGGCATGATGACCATAATCTCTTTCTAGCCAGGATGGCTTTTCTCCAGGTGCATCCCCTTAGAGCTGTCAGTGGTCCAGCAGCCTCAGTGGGCCTTACTGTTATACTTTTCTTAAGGTATGTCTTCTGGGCAGCACTGGGAGTAGCTGCACCTTCTCCATCCTCGTGCTACTCTGCAGTGTGCGAAAAGACTTCTCATACTGTCCTAACTCCATTCATTCGAAGAGTGATGCAAGGTTAACCACATCCAGCTTTCTATTAATAACTCTGTTCTTGCCTCTGTCACATCTGTCTCCAAATGGAAGTAGCTGGGGGGGCTGGGATGCTGCATTTGACATCTCTGACATGACATGGGTAGCTGCCAGTGTGCAAGACAAGTGTCTGAAAGTGGCGTTCAGTGAGGTGTTCGCCTGTCATGTACTGAGATGTGCTGTGTCTGAAGACTGAGTCCTGCTAGGAGGGAATAGGAAGTGATGAAGAAACAAATTATATCAGTTGCACCCTACTTGCAGTCTCTTTCACTGTTTTCTGGCAGCTGAGACAGAACTGTTTGCACCTGGTTTTAGTGCTTGCTCAGATCAAGGTGTTTCTGCTTGCTTGGCTTACAGACCCCTTAGCTTTTCCTACCCACTGAAATGCAGGAGGTAGGCCTACTGCTGATCCGCCTGGGAGGTTGGCCACAGACATGCAGAGGTCCTAGGATCGTTGCCTCAGCTGACTGAGGCAGCATGTTTAGGGTGTTTGTAGGAGAGGTAGTGCAGGAAGCATTCAGACAGCGTACGTAGGTGTACTGCTCCATATCGTTGGAGTAGGATACAGAATGGGAATGTAATTTGAATATGTAGCAATAACAAATGCCTCTGTCATGACCCTCCTTTCTGTGGTCAAGGACTGGTACTTTTCAGATCCGGGATGGCTGTTCAGTGCAGTGTTGATTGAAGAGCAAATAGTGTGACTGCATGGCTCAATGAGGACAAAACTCCACACCATTTAAGATTACTTGAAAGGATGCTCCCTTAGTCTCTTCATCTGGATCGTTGTGGGGGCATCTTACGAGGTGCAGGTGTGAGAGTTGCGTTGACATGGTCTGCAGTGGTTCCAGAGCATCTCCACCCAGCCTCATTGCAGAGGATTCGAGAAGCCTTTGTAGTGTGCTGCGGGGGAGGGAGGAAACCCCGATGAGGTGACAAGTGAAGAAATACCATTACCTTTGTTGCCTCTGCTGTTTAAAAACTGTCATGCTGTCTTAGCCTGAAGAAGAAAATGCATCAAGTTGCAAACTAAGGGGAACCTGACTGTTTTTCTTACCCAGATCTAACAAATTGCTTCTCACTTTTTTCATTTTTCTGTAATGTTTGGGATTTCTCAAAACGAGCTATAGTAGTTTATAAACCATCTAGAAGTTACCTTTTCAGCCATACCTTCAAACAGCTTGGAAAGGAACTTGCCTCACCTGCCTGAGTTTAGGGATGCACTGGTCAGTCAGTGTGTGAAGCCTTGCAGAACACTGAAAAGGGCAGTTACAAAACAACGCTTTTTCCAGTTAAAGGAATACTCATGCATCAGTGGCATGTCAAAAAGGAAGCAACTGGAGAGAGAAGTGCTAAATTCCATTTATCTTTTAATATCCATTTAATCCAACCAAGGTGGTTGTATTCCGTGCTAAAGTCTAAACTGAGACAACCAAATGGAAAGAGAAGTGCTAAATTCCATTTGTCTTCAAATGTCCAAATTGATTTCGTTCCGTGCCAAAGTCTAAACTGAGAGAACCATTATCCTTGTTCACCTCAGTTTGACTTCCTCAGTACGTGACTAGTCATCTTCAGCGGTTATTTTCTTTGGAAAAAAACCCAAGACAAATGCCTCTTACGCTGCTGCTGCTTCTTCTAGAAGAGTAGAAGATTCTTGCTCCTGTGATGTGTGATTAAAAACTCTCCCATCCAGAAAAAGTACTGAATTAGCATTTTGAGTTGAGGGGGAATTTGAACAGGATTCAAGGCTTATCTCTACGGTGAGGTTCGCAGTATTGAAGACCGAGGCCTAAACAGTGTGTCTGGTTGAACTGTGGAGTTAAACACCAACAGGCAGAAGTGGAAAAGATCTGAATTATGGGTAAACTTAGTCCATTATGTACATGTGTCAGAATTCCTTCAAGTCTGATAGCATCTGGTTTGGTTTCTCTCCTGAATGAGGAAGGATCCCTTAGTGCATAGTTCAAAGGCACCTCTTCCATATTTTCTTATCTTAATTCAATTTGTATCTGTCTCACCTTGCCATAGCTCATAGTTTAATGACTGCAGGGTTCAGCCACGTACTCCATTTGTAACTCCACCTTGCTCTGTCTAGAGCTTTAGCGTGTTGCATCCCAGCTCCCAGTAACACACGTGTGCGCTGCAGGAGTTGTGCATTTAGTGTTGCCATTTCTTATTTACTGCATAGCATTCAGTTGCTGGTTTCTTCCACTCAGACAGATCTTGTCGTTGCCATGTCTGAATGTCACAAGCTCTGCTTCATGTCACGACTTCAGTTCTGTGGTGCTTCTGTAAGTTGTAGCCTTAAGCTCTGTTGTATAAAACTGCTGGACACTGGGCTAACAGCCCCCTGGTGTGGAAGGAGGTTGAGTGCAGCTATGAGGTTGCATTCATGGCAGCACAGCCACAGGAAGATTATACTGGTCCACTGTGCCATGCTTTCAGATTTCGAGCATTTTCAGCTGAAAACCTGCCTTTAATGCTGGTAAGGTGAATTTGAGACCACCGATGTTCCTGCAAGGTGCTTATTGCTCCTATTCTTTTTGAGGCACTAACCAGTACCCCAGAAGAGTTGCCTAGTAAAACAAGTCTATGGAAGTCTTTGTGAAAACTAAGAGATTTGATAGTGTTCAGTGATTGCAGCAGAATAAAGTATTGCAAAAAGAGTAAAGAAGTCACAGAATGGTTTGGGTTGGAAGGGACCTTAAAGACCATCTAGTTCCAACCCCCCTGCCATGGGCAGGGACACCTTCCACTAGACCAGGTTGCTCAAAGCCTCGTCCAGCCTGGCCTTGAACACTTCCAGGGATGGGGCATCCACAGCTTCTCTGGGCAACCTGTTCCACTGCCTCACCACCCTCTCTGTGAAGAATTTCTTCCTGATGTCCAATATACACCTCCCAACTTTCAATTTAAACCCGTTACCCCTTGTCCTGTCACTGCAGGCCCTTGTAAAAAGTCCCCCTCTGACATTCAGAGGTTGCTATGTGTCTTTTCCAGGTGCCAAAAAGACGCATTTAAGTTGTGTACAAGATGGGATGCGCTAGGTTTTTCACCTCTCTGGTTGAAATAACTGCCCTTCTTCCTTGAGATTCTCTTCCCCCAAGCTTGTGCAACAGTTTTTATTGGTGATACTTCGAGTGCAGGCTCAGGAAGCTGGTTGGTGGTGCAGTGGTTCTGCTGCACTGAAGGTCAGTGCCCAAATACCTTCTGCAGTTTCTCTCTTGCAGTGATCTGCAGAACGCTGCTGCAGGCTCATTCGCCTCTGCCTTTGCCACCCTTGTCCTCTGTCCCACAGAGCTGGTGAAGTGCCGGCTGCAGGCCATGCATGAAATGCAGCTGTCTGGAAAGATAATCCAGGGACACAAGTAAGTGTACACCCTGCCCAGTGTCTCCTAAACCCTTTCATGTGGATTTATTGTATTTAACTCTGTTAGTTCAGTGTCACGTTTGTAGTGCACTCTTAACCAGAGAGGAGTTGCGGCTGAGAGGGTCACAGCCTGGAGACTTTCCAGGTACTAGTAAATCTGGATGCCAGTGAAGGGCTCCCAGCAGGATCTCATTCCAAGTCTGTTGTGGTTTAACTCCGGC